TCAAGACCATAATGTCCTTAGCCCCTAGCCTTTCAAGACCATTAACGCGCTTAGTCCCTAGCCTTTCAAGACCATAATGTCTTTAGTCCCTAGCCTTTCATGACCATTATGTCCTTAGCCCCTAGCCTTGCAAAACATAATGTCCTTAGTCCCTAGCCTTTCACGACCATTAATGTCCTTGCCTTTCACGGCCACAATGTTCTTAGTCCCTAGCCTTTCAAGACCACAATGTGCTTAGTCCCTAGCCTTTCAAGACCTTGAATGTCCTTAGTCCCTAGCCTTTCAAGACCATTCATGTCCTGAATCCCTAGCCGTAGCCTTTCAAGATCATAGAAAGAAGTTGACCTGGAGTTGTAGTCAAAAATCCTTAGTTCAGCAATTGTTGTGCGGTGCAAACAGTGAAAACCCATTACATCAATGGGGGCCAGCAAGCCTAGGGTAGTGGAAGCCCAGCACAGTCGGCCCTCTACAAGTGATATCCAAAGTCATCCAACATCCATTGCCCGCCTTGCGCCGGCATCGGGACAAGGAAGAAAGGGGGTTTGTACTAAACAGCCGAGTGTCATCGAGCTTCCAAAAGCTGGCAGGCTCAGAAGCAGCTGAAAGCCGAAGTAGCACGCGAGGTGCTAGAGCATGTGGTCCTTTCCTGCCAGCCTGCTGTGACGCTCGTTTGGCTTCCAATTGGATTTTGGGCTCATGGGCTGGTCCTGAAATCACAGTTGGGCCGTCGAGCAATGCGTGTGCCAGAAACATTTGCCAAGGAACATGCAAAGCCTGTCAATTTTGCTCATGCACCAGTTCCAAAAGAAATGATTGGCATGATCGATCGTGGGGTCATAGTTCATAGTCATAGAGTCTTAAGATTCTACTTCTACAACCTAACCTGCTTGCAGGTCTACAGCTCACCCCTTCTCACCTGCTGTGACACCACATTCTTTTTGCCGGTCCACCTGGTGTGAGCCATTTCCGGTGGAGTTCCCAGTTTCTGGGAACATGTTAACATCGGGCTCCAACCATCTCCTCAGGAGGTGGTTAGACCCCCCTGGCACCCACCCCAACCACCTTCTCAGGAGGTGGGCCAGGAGCCCCAGGGCATATGATTTGATGTTTCTTCCCAGTGCCTGGAGTTCAAGCCAAATCCCCTCAAACACAGTGTGAGGTGTTCAATCCCCTTCCCGCCGCCGCCGGAACCTGCCAATCCCATCCCATCCAACTCCGAGGAAACAAGCTCTTCAAGAGACGCGGACGCGCGGCATCTACGGGGCCCCGGCCCGACCCGAGGCCGGTAGATCGAGGGCGCTTCCGGAAGCGCTCATAAACAAAAGAGAAGATACTATAGCCTTCCAACGGTGTTTTTAAATTGTAGACTAGTCGACTGATTAGGTTGATTGGTGATAACTGGGGCCTGATTAGGTTGATTGTAGGGTATTGCTAGGGTGTACCTTCCAAGTGTTTCACCCGTGTTTCGTTGGGTTCGCTGCGCCGCCGTTGGCCAGTCCCCCAGTTGGAGCCGATCTTCGTAGCGCGGTTCGGAAGCTTCGCGAGGTGTTCCGTCCAGGAGCATCCTGTTTTGGGATGTATTGGCTGGAGGGTCCCGTCTACCAACAGAGGTGGAGTTGAACCCGACTGTTCGACGATCCCAGGTGTTCCGGGTACCCCAGCTTTTCCGGGTCCTAGTGACCGGGTACCCCAGCTTTTCCGGGTCCTAGTGACCTGGTCACTTAACCTACCTCTCTTGGTAGGGTGGCATCACCTTGAAGTCTCGAACGTCGACGCCGGCGGAAAGTGGGAGGGTGGGGGGGGGGGTCCTGAGGTGCCCCCCACCCACCCTCCTCCTACCTCAGAGGCGCCAGGAATCACAAGGTTCGGTTGGTTTCATGCTCTTTGAGGCTCCATCTGGCGCACCCCCCCTGGTTCTTCAACCTTTGCTGGTCCACGTGCCTTTTTTTGGCACCACCGCCCCTCCTGCCGCCCGTCCGCCGAACGCGAGGCCGATCTGGAGCTGAAAGACTGGGCCGACACCGAGGAGCTGGGCGAGCTCTTGATGCTCGGTGGTCGGCTCGGAGGAGCGGGGCTGGAGAGGGTCCCATCTCGTTTGGGTGATGCTTTTGGTTCGACCTCCGGAAGATCCTTCGCATTTGGACAGGCCAGTGATCTAACCCGCCGCTCCGCCCAAGGAAACGCCAGGGCCTCGCGCCCCAGATCCACGGCCCAGTGCCTGACGATGTCCTCTTGGGTGCAATCCGCCTACGCGCCGCACGCGCGCTCAGCTGCGCGGCAGTGGCCCCGCAGCTGCCGCAGAGCTGGGAATGGCGGGTTTGCGTGGAAGGTGCTGAGGGGAGCTGGGCCTGTGGTGGGAAGGGTGAAGACATGGTGAAGATGTGAACAGCAGAGCCGCCTTGATCCTTTTCTTAGTATGGACACTGGGCTTCAACTTTAAGATGAAGTGGCAGTTTGGGCAGTGTGCATCTTCGGGATACCAAATCAAGTCGTTTAATTTTTAATTATCCAATGTAAAATAGCCTAACCAGTTTTGAACTTGTTTCTGATGTGTGACTGGCTATTGATGTGCTGTTTTGTTGCTCGGGTGCCCCACCAAGAGTCAGAACATGCAAAAGATCTAGAGTCATGGAGCTGTGTGGTTGGAAGATGCTGGTATTTGTAGATAGCGTTTGGGGCGGGATATCGTGCCATCTTGCAGCTACATGGGTCATCCTGAGAGTAAGCGCTCGAGCGACCAGGGTGAGCATGCCCCCCCTGTGGAAAAGACAGCATTTTCCGCAGGAAGACTCCACCTACCCACGAGAGTCCGAGAGGTGAAACTTCTTTCACTATCCGTTTGATCGTGGCGCCACTTCAATGGCTTTTTCCAATCAGATGGAAACAGTCCACCCTTTGTGCTTCAAACGGGAAAGCCATGCTGGGCGATCAGTTTCTCACTTCTGTGGTCTCATCCCGGCGGTCCAAGTCCGGCGCGTAGGAGAATGGCTTGAACTGCCTGCCTATATCTCAGCGGTCTTCGAAGGCGCCCTTCGCAGTCGCCAGGACCACCGGAAAAGGGGGACGGGAACCGCGCCGGAACCCGCGCGGGAACCGCGCGGGAACCGCGCGGGCTGCTTGCGGGCTGATGGCACAAGCCGCAATAAATGTCTATAGATTGTCCTTAGATGATTTAGATTAATGAGGGGTTTATATAAACCTCCAAACTTTTAAATACCAGCACTACCCAGGTCGGGTGGTTTATAGACACCCCTGAAAATGTATTTTTCACGAAAGCTAGCGAAGCTAGCTGGAGTTACTCTTGCGATAGCAAGGTTTCTTTCGACTGGGTGCAAATCCTAGCCCCTGATTTTTCAGGTCGAAGACCCCCCCCCCCCCCCCCCCCCC